GACAAAAAAGAATCCAAGCCACATCTTGTATTTTGGGCATAAGCGTTATCTACGGGGTCATATAATTTCAGTCACAAAGATTTTGCCAAATCCAGAACTTAATCTTGTCCCAACTATCTGTTTTGGCAAACCAAAACCTAGCTTTGTGGTATACTTTTTCCCTTTCCCTTAGGACCTGATTCAGACTCTAATGGAAACAACCCAATAAAAACAGACCTGGTAATAAACACACAGTGGTCTTGTCTACTGTACTGCATCCATATTAGATAATCCTGATTAGTTTCCATTTTTCAAGATTGTTAGAAAGGAGCTTTACTACTAAATACTGAAATGTGTCAGGCTTCTGCTGTGGGAATTTTCTTATTTTTAAACATTTAAAAGTAAAATAATTTTCAATCCAATATACATAGTGCTATAAACTATTCAATAGAAAAAAAGTACAAGCTCCTTCTCAAAAACAAGATTTCTTTACCAAATATCCTAGCAAATCATCACAGAAAGGGTGAAGTCTCATCAAAAAGAACAGGTACTCGGGAAGCAGAGCTTAAAACACTGATCATGATTTCTGCTATAGACTGTTTGTGTCTCTTCCCTCTCCCCAGATTCCAGTGTGATGATATTTGGAAGTAGTGAGGGGTTTCTTGGGTGTGTGTTTTGCTTTGATTTGTTTTTTTTAGAAACTTTATTTTCCATCAGCCTTGCTTTGGTGTGTTCTGATAATACTGATTACTCAGGTTCTTAAGTCATGACAGGGAGAAGGTAGGTACTTCCTATCTTACTGGTTTGCATCATACTTGGTTACTTGGTCTTATTATGCAGGAAGATCCTCAGGATGGCTGTCATTATGCCCAGAATGTTAGTGCTAGTGACCATGTTGCATTGCGTGATCAGAATGTTGTGGTGACCATGATCCTCTTGATGGCATTGGCAACTGAATAGCTCTGAGGGCTGATGAGGCTGAAGATGCTGAAGGCAATGGTGTTGTGGAAAAAGCTACAGAAGGCTTTGACAGTGATAGCGGGGGTAGGAGTGTCCAGGGTACTACTTGACTGGGCGTTGCAGTCAGGTCATGACCTACAGAAGGACTGAGACTGTAATGGGATGTACTAGAAGCCTCTGACTGTAGTTAATTCTGGAGTGGGGTGGAGGATAAACCTAGGCGTCACTTTCCTTCAGATACTTTCCAGGTGACAAATGCACCACTGGGGAAGAGGAGGTTCTGTCTATGTTGTGAATGGAGTTTCAGATATGTTAGTACTCAGTAGAGGCTGACGTGGCAGGAGTATAAATTTCTTTTATGGTTTGCCTGTTCTAAGCTAATTTTGGTTATTTGGGTAGATTCCTTACTACTTATGAGAGAATGGATTTTGTGTTTGGCAGATTCTCTTTTAATATTTTGGTGCCAGCCCTAATAGACCAGACATAATTCAGATTGTCTGCCTTTGGGGACAGTTTAAAGATTATAAAATGTTTATTTATTTTTGACAGAGAGAGAGAGAGCAAGCATGAGTTGGGGAGGGGCAGAGAAAGAGAGAGGGAGACACAGAATCCAAAGCAGGCTCCAGGCTCCTAGCTGTCAGCACAGAACCCGACGCGGGGCTCGAACCCACAGACCTGAGAGATCATGACCTGAGCCGAAGTCAGACACTCAACCGACTGGGCCACCCAGGCGCCCCTGACAGTTTAAAGATTATAAAGCTACATTTTTCCTTTTGGAGCTTGGGAAGATTGTCCTTTGTCATCACTGAAGGGCTTGTTCTTCAGTTGTTGGAAGTTTCCTTATCAGAAGACACTTCTTTAATGTGCAAAGTGTATTACCTGGAGATCTGGGGATTTTGATGCTTTTTTTTTGTCCCTTCATCTAGGATGGTTTTGACTATAAGTAGCAGAAAACCCTAATGAGATTGGCTAAAAGCATAAAGGGAAATTTATTTTTGTTACATAACAAGATATCCAGTACTTTAGTGACAACATCAGTGACCCTGATTTCTGTTCTTCTGTGCTGCATGCTCAACATGTTGGCCTTGTCTTTAGGCTAGTATCTTTTAGGGTCACCAGGTGTCTTGGCTTCAGTAGTCTCAGATACACATCTAGACAGAATAATATCTTGAGGAAGTGAAGGGACATCTTCTTGTTCTTTAAGAGCAAGGTAACTTTTCCCAGAGGACCCCTGGCCAACTTCCCCTCATGTCTCGTGGTTAGAAGTTACATGCCCTTTTCCTAAATCAGCCGTCTCTTAGGATCAGAAGGAAGTACTACTGTTCAAGATTCTCCCTTAACTAGAATGCAGTTTCACATTCCCGTGAAGGTGGACTACCTGATTGGGATTCTGTTAGTAAGGAAATAGTGGAGAAAGACGTCATCATCTACAGCATTCTCATTCCATGGTTTTCACAGTGGGCCTTCGTGGACACCAGACTTCAGGAGCAACCTCTGATTGTTTTTAGTCTGAGCTGTTTCTTTTTCTAGTACTTCCAAGGCTAGAAGTAGGCAGGGCTAGCCCAGGCCCCTTCACCTGCATCAGAATATCCCACAGGGTTAGCGGTGGGCATGTCTTCAAATTAGAGATGAGGAAATTTGCAGTTAAGGGACTCGCCCACAGCTCCACACTTTGTAAGCGAGGGCTGGAGAGTTCTGGGCACTTTAGTTTTTTAGGTTCTAGGTTTATTTAAAAAGAAATGCCAAACAAAGCCATAGAAATATGGAATGTTTTACATGTTTACTTCTAAGAAAATATTTGAAACACAAAAACAGTACTATAATTTTATGTGTCTATCATGTGGAAACAAAAGATCAAAAGTCTAGATCTGACTGGAGGTTGGACTTGTGCTTCTCTGTCCTGTGGGGGTTGCAAAGCTGGGCACGCATCTCTGAGTCCAGCTCTTCTGGGGCATTTGGCACTGTCCATCCCTCTCCTTTCCCAGACACACTGACCCAGAATAGAAAGTTCGGCACCTTCCTGGGTACCCTGTCCCCCACGGGGGCAATCCCAGTGAACAACTGAGCCAGGGTAAGAGCTGATTGACAGTGCTAAGCTGTGTCCACTGCCACCGTAGGCACCTCCAGGAGCCTCGAGAAGAGGCCCTTCAAGCTGCTTCTCCACTTAACACTACCACTGTGTGACTCCTTCTGTTTTCATTTGGTGCTTTTACTCCCTGCAGCCATCTTCCTGGAATTACTTCATTTGTTCCAACAAACCTGTCTTTGAGCATTTCCTGTGTGCCAGGTACTGCTTTGGACCCTAGTTAGAGATAAAAGGGAATGGTTTGGTGGTGGTGACAGACAAGTAGATGAAGGTACAGTGATGTATGGCTGAGATAGTTGGCACAGGTACCTTAGGAGCCATAGAGGTGTGCACCCAACTCCTGTTTGGGAGAATGGAGTCTGTGGAAAACTCCATGGGGTAGGGAGGAGTGGAAAGTGGATAGCTAAGCAAAAAAGTGTGTGTTTATTGAAGTGGTGCTGATCAGTTAGGGGAATGGAAAATCATTTATTTTTATTGATAGCTGTGAAATAGAGCTTGTGGGCAGCTTTGAATTCAGAAACTTTTGCAGGGGTGCCTGGGTGGTTCAGTTGGTTGAGCGCCCCACTTCGGCTCAGGTCGTGGTCTCAGGATTTGTGAGTTCGAGCTCCGCGTTGGGCTCTCTGCTGTCAGCACAGAGCCCACTTCGAATCCTCTGTCCCCCTCTCTCTCTGTACCTCCCCCGCTAGCACTCTTTCTCTCTCAAAAATAAACATTAAAAAAAAAAAAAAAGAACTTCTGCAGTTTTGCAGCAGTTTTCTTCTGTAGACTATTATGCCCATAAGTTATGAGGTTCAGAAGAAAATATTTCATCTCTTGCAGGTAAAGCCATATTCCTGCTTTCACAAATATTTAATTTTTCTTCTTTCGTCTTGATCTTTCAGATGTAGTCTTGCCTGCTACATTCCTAATCACAAAATATATTCAGTACTAGGGAAGTTGCCCATTACTTTAACTTTCTTGAGAGAAAATTGACATTACAGGGTAGGTATTTAAGTACAAAGGGCCTTTCCTTGTCCCACTGGTTGGTGTAGAGTCAGACAGAAAGGCAAGCTCTGTGGTGCCAGACATGGCTATAAATTGATGGCCACAGATTTAAAGTAGAAGAAATCAGAAGCCTGAATTTCTTTGGGAAAAGCAAACCCTTTTTATGATTCTACAACTCAGCAAGGGATGACTTTCCCTGGCTGCTCCTTGGCACCTTCAACAGAAAAGTTGGAAAGTGTGACCTGATTTCCCAGACAAAAACCCTTCCTTGAGTCAGTGAGAGACCCGAGACCCTTACCATTACTGGATATGGTGAGAAGTCTGAACACAATGAATTTGTGTTGCCTTCTGTTTTTTTCCCTGAACACTTATCTTTGAATGTGGAATAAGCAGGGAGAGTTGCCTTTCTGACGGCTGTTAACATACTGCAGCTCTAAAATCAAATCCTATAGGGAACATGGAGGGTATATGACAGCTAGGAAGGGAAGAGAATGTGGGCTTCTGTGCATAAAAAAAATGGATGGAGGAGACCAAAGTTGTATCATTCAGAAAAACTTACCACCTGTCTCTCATGCACCAGGCAGCGTTGTACATGCTTGGGGGAATATATAGCAGGAAACAAAACAATCCCTTTTTTTTTTTTTTTTTTGTATTTTTATTTTTTATTTTTTTAAAGTAATGTCTATGACCAATGTGGGGCTCAAACTCATAACCCCGAGATCAAGTCACATGCTCAACTGACTGAGCCAGCCAGGTGCCCCCAGAATCCCATTCTTTTCATAGAGCAGATATTCTTTGAACTGTAGGAAAATTGTGCTTGCCGGGTGTTTTGATTCCCTCTTTTCCTCTCTCCTTTCTGTTAGGAAAGAAGAATAAGCTGAACAGACTCTGACTGTTGGCTTTCAGTTCGCCAGGATCTTCTGCCTAGCTGTCCTTTTGTGGCCCATGTGCTGCATCCTCTGCCCTCAGTGTGCAGCTGGCCCCCAACGCAATGTGTGTTTGTCAAACCATGGAAGTGGGGCAGTATGGCAAGAATGCAAGTCGGGCCGGAGACCGGGGAGTCCTCCTGGAGCCCTTCATCCACCAGGTGGGCGGACACAGCAGCATGATGCGCTACGACGACCACACTGTGTGCAAGCCTCTCATCTCCCGGGAGCAGCGGTTCTATGAGTCCCTCCCTCCTGAAATGAAGGAGTTCACCCCTGAATACAAAGGTCAGTCACTGGCCAGTTTGGAGAGAGCAGTAGCCTTGGGCTTTTGCAGGTTTTCAGCTCAGTTTTCCTTGTGTTGTGGGCCAGGTGATATGATTGTAGGTCTCTTTTGTCTCAAACTAAATCACTTTGTTAAGCACAATTTGAGACTGAAAGCACCAGCACAGTCTTTAGATCTTGAAAATCTGAATTCACCAATAGGTAAACCTGGAAGAATTCACATCATTAAATACTGTTGGTGAAGAGCATGCTCTTAGCAAGGTGGTTTCCCCTGTTTGCTGGGATGCTCTAGGAGAGGGGCAGTACTTCTCTGGTTCCGGAGGAGGAAGAGTTGGATGCTTTCCAGGCCAAGGCAGTGAGACAGCTGGCAAGGAGGCTGTGTGGAGCCTTTGTCTGTGCTGGGGGAATGAATTGATGATAAGGAGTTTACAGAAGGATTGAGAAGGTCTGAAAGTCCTAACTTTTGAAGGCAAAATAGTGTTTGAAAATGTAAATTAACTTTATAGAATAGAACCCCATGAATATATACCAGAATTAAGTCACTTTATTTTAAAATTTGATTTTTGTTACTCTGTTTATACGTTTTCATTGCCCACCATGGATAAGTTATATTTTTGTGTTCTACTTTTTAAAAAAAATTTTTTATAATGTTTATTTATTTTTGAGAGAGAGAGAGAGCATGAGCAGGGGAGGGCCAGAGAGGGAGGGAGACACAGAATCTGAAGCATCCAGGCTCTGAGCTATCAGCACAGAGCCTGATACAGGGCTTGAACTCGCAAACTGTGAGATCATGACCTGAGTTGAAGTTGGATGCTTAGCCGACTGAGCCACCCAGGTGCTCCTTGTATTCTACTTTTTAATTTCCCAAAGTTGTTATGAATTTAGTCATGTTTACGTCATTATTTACTTAAGGGATCCTCAATTTATTTTATTTAAAAAATTTTTTTAATGTTTAATTTTTTGAGAGAGAGAGCGCACGTGCGTGAGTTGGGAAGAGGCAGAGAGAGTGGGAGACAAGAATCCAAAGCAGTCTCCAGGCTCCGAGCTGTCAGCACAGAGCCTGAGGCGGGGCTCAAACCCATGAACTACAAGATCGTGACATCAGCTGAAGTTGGTTCTCAACTGACTGAGCCACCCAGGCTCCCCAAGAGATCCTCAGTTTAGAAAAATCAATTCAGGGGCTCCTTGGTGGCTCAGTCGGTTGGGCGTCTGGCTTTGGCTCAGGTCGTGATTTCATTGTTCGTGGGTTTGTGCCCCACATAGGTCTCTGTGCTGACAGCTCGGAACCCAGAGCCTGCTTTGGATTCTGCGTTTCCTCTCTGCCCATCCCCAACTCACACTCTGTCTCTGTCTCTCAAAAATGATAAATAAACATAAAAAAATTTTTTTTTAAATGTTACTAATGGTTAAAAAATGATTTAAAAAAATCCATAATTTTTTTTTATTGTGGCAAAATATACATGACATAAAATTTAACCATTTTTAAATGTACAATTCAGTGGCATTAAGTACATTCACAATGTTGTCTACCATTATCATTACTTCCATAACTTTCTCATCACCTCAAACAACCACTCTGTATCCATTAAATAATAACTCTCCCTTTCCACTTCACCGAACCCAGGTAACCTCTAGTCTACTTTGTCTCTTTACACATTTGCCTATTGTAGATATTTCATAGAAGTGGAATCATGTAATTTTTTGTCCTTTTGTGTCTGGTTTATTTCACTTAGCATAATGTTTCCAAGACTCACCCATGTTGTAGCATGTATCAGAACTTCATGTCCTTTTATGGCTGTATACCCATTGTGAATATATATCACATTTTGTTTATCCACTTACCTGTTGACGGACACTTGGGTTGTTCCCACTTTGGACTATTGTGAATAATGCTTTTGTTAATATTAGCTTATAAGCATCTGTTTGAGTCTCTGCTTTCATTTCTTTTGGGTACATACCTAGGAGTGGAACCTGCTGGATCATATGGTAATTCTGTTTAACTTTTTGAAGCACTGCCAAACTGTTACAGGGCCTGGCATCTAGTAGATGCTTAATAAATACTTGACTAATGGATTAAGGAAAGTTTTGCATAAGGATATAGAAGCCTAGAACTTCATATTTGGTACTATATGTGGTAACCCCTGATGACTGCCGCTGGTAATACTAAATACATAAAAATCCCTCTTGAAACTTAACCAAAACACAGAATATTATTGGCATTTTTCCTTAGCTTGGTTGAATTTTAAAAACACCTGTGTTCCTGGCAATAAAGAGATATATGTGTATGTGTGGGTTAGTATTTATACATGTATTTCCCAGATCTGTCTGCTGAAAGGGCCTAAAAACAATGATACTCCAGTAGCAATCATAGGGCCAAGATCTTGGTCCTTCTAAATACCATTCCTACAGTAAAGGGAAGCAGAACTCCCTGGAGGAATGATTGGTTTCTGAATTGGGGCAGGAAAATAAAAGATGAGCCTGGAGCATCCCCTGGTAACTAAAAGTAAAGAAATGGTCAAAAATGATGGGAGTGTATGTTACAAGCACACAAGAGCCGATATCAGGGAATCCCAGTGGCCAAATCTAGAATATGAGAAATAAAATATCCCTAACTCCATACTGATAGATAAATGGGTGAGAAGGGACATTTCTTCCTTATAGAATTGTAATTCCTTTTAATTAAAAGATATAGAAGGAATGATGGAAACAGAAGTCACCATTAGACACACAACACAGAAATAATTGTCCCCGGCAAGAACCATGATTGATTCTAAAATGAGTGGGCTAACATACTATAAGAAACAGAATATTTAGAAAGTCTCAAAGTATCTCCCTGTAGGATATTCATTAATTACAATAGGAAAAATAATAACTTTACAAAGGAGAAACCTGGCAGACTTCACCTTAACCAAGTGATCAAAGTTAAATTACCAGTAACAAGACCTGTACCTTCTGACATAAGAACTGAGGAGGACACAAGATCATTTCTGTTGCCTAAAATGAGTGATATCAATCTAATCATGAGAAAATATAATGCAAATCCAAATTTAGGGACATGCTACAAAATAACTGTTAGTATTCTTCAAAAGTGTCAAAGTCATGAAAGAGAAAGACAGAAACTATATCAGATTGGAGGAGACTGAGGAGGACTAAATGCAATGTGAAGTGAAATCCTGAACCAGAAAAAGAATATAAGTGGGAAAACTGCCAACATTCAAATAAAGTATACAGATTACTTAATATTATTATGTCAGTGTTCATTTCTTGGTTTTGGTAATTATAAATTATGATTTCACTTTTAACAATTTTTTTTTAATATGCTCTTATTGATGTTCAACAACTGGCTTAAATGAAGACAGTATTGATGATTTTAGAATAAGTCAGTTTATCAACAATATGCATGAAACAGCACTGTTCTTAAAATCTAAAATCAATTACTGAAATTCACTTAAGGAGCTTGGGGGCAGTGTTAAAAGGGGCCAGGTTTTCACAGGCCCTTATCCATCTCTGCATGTTGGCTGGCACCATCATATTGCAGCCTTCCATCTGCTGGAACACAGACCACAGCACAACATCTGCTGAAGCGAGTTCATTCCCAGCAAGCCAGGGGCTCTTCCCAAGAGTAGCCTTCATGGAGTGGAACATAGTGGCGGCTTCTTCTTTCTAAAAAAATGTTCATTTATTTATTTATTTTTGAGAAAGAGGGTGTGCGCATGTGAGCAGGGGAGGAGCAGAGAGAGAGGGAGAGAGTCTCAAGCAGGCTCTATGCTCAGCACAGAGCCTGACATGAGGCTTGATCTCACCACTGTGAGATCATGACCTGAGCCAAAATCAAAAGTTGGATTTTGACCGACTGAGCCACCCAGGTACCCCCATATAGTGGCTTCTTCTTTAATGCTTCCTTCTTTTAGCTGAAAAATAGCTATTATCTACCCAGGTTTTTACAAGGGTTAAATTTATAGCATTATGCTTCTGGCCAAACAAAAGAAAAAATGTGCAATGTTTCTTTCTCCTTTGATGGGACACATCGTTTGGATACTGAACTGCATTTTAATCTTCAGCACATTCTTCCCAATTAGAATAAACCCCAGGTGATACTCATGAGGGGCTGGTTTTTTTGGTGTGCTTGCCAAAACACTCGATAAGACATTGGGCTCGCTGTTGACTGCTGCATGCGTGAGAACAGTGAACAGGACCCTGCAGTACAGCACAAGGGGGGTGGGGGGAGGTGGGGTTTGTGTTAATCATGATCTTTCAGTGCCCTTGTCTTTCAGTCTTCCATAATCCTTTCCAAGCATGGAATTTAAGTCCAATGCATTGGTTAGTAAAGCAGTTGGCTCATCAGCTTGGATTATGTTGGTTACATCCAAGTCCACATCTGACATGTCAGTCATCTTGGTGTGACCATTAACCATAGCTTTTCAGTTCAGACAGACATTTTAAAATACCTTGATGATGGGATTCAAGAGCTTGAAGAGTTGGGTCAGAGAGTCTTCCTGCACATGGCCTGCAACCAGAGAAGGAGAGATGTGTCACTTTGTGATAGGGCTTTACCTGATACACTGGCCTCACGGGAGCATTAGAGGAAGCGAGTATATGGGAATTCTATATTTTTGGTAACTTTCTATAATATTAAATGTATTTCAAAAAAAAAAAAAAACCCCTGTACTGTTGGGTTTTGATATATATTAATTGGACCAATAATATCTTCAATTTTCTTTCGATAAATTGGGCTTCATTCGACTTAATAAGAAAGGATCAATTTTTGGTTTAATTGTATATTTGAGAAAGTATATTTATTTTACCTAGTGAAAATGCAGCCCGAGAAAAGAAAATAGATACTAATGATTTGCTATGGCTCTTAAAGACTTCTGTTCCCCAGTCTGAGAAAAGTTGGGGAAAAACTGAACCACTACTGACAGTCCTTTCCTGGGAGCCACCTGGAGGTTTGAACTTGTCCCAGTTCTGTCGGTTGTGATTTAGAAAACATTTCTCTGGAGCCAGGATTTGACTCCCTTTTAAGATTTTTTTTTTTCCTTAGCATCAGAAGGACTCTGAGCTAACAGGGCTTATAGTTCTCTATCTCATTTTGGCATATTTATAGCAGAAGGTTTGGCCATGGATGTGTTGAGTGTGGATGAGTTGGTGGCTGAAGCTGCATATAAAGCATTTGCAACTGTTCTTAGCCACTTAGAGACAGCAATGTGTTTGATTCTGGCTTCTCTCTTGTTTTGTAGTCCTAGAATATCCCTTCAAATGTAATATTCTTCTGGTTCTGTTTTGAAAACAGTAGCAGGGTTCCAAGGTGGCTCAGTCAGTTAAGTGTCCAACTCTTGTTTTTGGCTCAGGTCATAATCTCATAGTTTGTGGGTTCCAGCCCCGTGTCAGGTTCTGCACTGACAATGTAGAGTCTGCTTGAGATTCTCTCTCTCTCTCTCTCCCTTTCTCTTTCCCTTTCCCTTTCTCTTTCCCTTTCCCTTTCTCTATCTCTTTCTATCTCTCTCTCTTCCTCCTCCCCCTCCCCTGCTGGCTCTCATGCACTCGCTTTCAAAATAAATAAACTTAAAAAAAAACAATAGCAAACCATTGGATTCAAAATTGCACAATGGACTTGGATACACATTTCTCCAGAAAAAGATACACAAATGACCAACAACACATCAATGTCATTAGTCATTAAGATAATGCAAATTGGTGGCACCCAGGTGGCTCAGTCAATTAAGCATCTGACTTCAGCTCAGGTCATGATTAGTGACTTTGTGAGTTAGTGAGTTTGAGCTCTGCATCAGGCTCTGCACTGGTGGTGAAGAGCCTGCTTGGGGTTCGCTCTCTCTCCCTCTCTGCCCCTTCCCCACTTGCGTGCGCTCTCTCAAAATAAATAAAATTTTTAAAAATGCAAATCAGAACCACAAATCAGATACCATTCGTGCACACTAGGATGGCTATAATAATTAAAAACAAGAAAAAGGAAAGTAAGAGTTGGCAAGAATGTGGAGAAATAGAACACTGCCGGTAAGGATGTCAAATGGTGCAACCACTACAGAAAACAGTTTGGTAGTTCCTCAAAAAGTTAAACAGAATTACCATATGATCAGCAGTTCCACTCCTGGGTGTGTACCCAAAAGAACTAAAATCAGGGACTCAAACTGATGCTCATAAAGCTAATATTCACAGAAGTATTATTCACAATATTCACAACCCATGTGTCAGCAGTAAGTGTATCAATAAACAAATTGGGATATATATTCACAATGGAATAGTATTCAGATTTAGAAAGAAATGAAGTTCTGATACATGCTACAACATGGATGAATCTTGGAAACATTATGCTAAGTGAAATAAGCCAGACACAAAAGGACAGAAATTACATGATTCCACCTATATAGAATATCTACAATAGGCAAGTGTGTAAAGAGACAAAGTGGATTAGAGGTTACCTGGGTTTGGGTGAGGAGGAGAGGGGGAGTTATTATTTAATGGGTATAGAATTGTTTGAAGTGATGAGAAAGTTTGGGATTTAGATAATGATAATGGTAGACAACATTGTGAATGCACTTAATGCCACTGAATTGTATGTTTAAAAATGGTTAAAGTGAGGGGTACCTGGGTGGCTCAGTCAGATAAGCATCCGACTTCTGCTTAGGTCATGATCTCATGGTTTGTGGGTTCGAGCCCTGCGTCGGGCTCTGTGCTGGCAGCTCAGAGCCTGGCTCCTGCTTCAGATTCTGTTTCCCCTCGCTCTCTGCCCTTCCCCCACTCATGTTCTGTCTCTCTCTCTCAAAAATAAAACATTTAGGAAAAAATGGTTACAATGATAAATTTATGTATTTTTTTTACTATAATTTCTAAAAATATATTTTTTAAAAATACCAAAACCTCCACCAAATGTAATCTTTAGTGTCTATTGAAATTAGTCTTACAATTGCCAAGAAAATTGGGGCTTATATCAGACCATTGATTTTTCATTTGCCCATCTGCATTCTACCTAGGTGTGAGTACTGATGTAAAAAATAATGTCAGGATCAAAAATATTTTCTTCTTAAACTAGTAGTAGATTGCAGGATTCGTTTAATTGGCAAGTTTCATCTACTATTTGTAGAGCTTCTTCCTGCCCTATCCACAGCATAGCCATATCTCCCCGTATCAGATATGATGCTCTGTGTCTGCCAGTGGTCTGTCAGGGTACTCAAAAGTATGTACCTGAAGAGAATGAAAGGTTTCCAATATAGCTTTAGATGAGCCTTCAAGACAGAAAAGAGCTAATCGTAAAAGATCAAATGATATATTTGACTATATAAAATTTAAAACTTATGTTTATTAAAATTCACCTTTAGAGAAAATGAGTAAAGATATTTACCACATATATAACTGACCAAGGATTAGTTTCCAGAATATAGGTCTATATCTAAATTAATGTGAATCAGTATGGAAAAGATAGTTCAGTATGAAAATGAGCAAAAATTAAAAAAATAAATGAAAACCAAAGACCAAATTAAGAAAGTAAATGAAAACCAAAGACAAAAGGCTGATTCTTTGAGAACAACATCTCTAGCCAGACTGGTCAGGAAAAGGAGATGACATAAATGTCCAATATCAGAAATGATATATGTGTCTTCACTAGGATCTACTGATATTTAAAGATAAAAGAATATTTTGAGAAACTTTATCCCAATAAATTCTACAACTTAGATGAAAGAGACAATTTCTTGAAAGATACAAGCTATGAAAATTTTCATGAAGAAATGGGGACTCTGAATAGTCCTATCAAATAAATTGAAATTGGAGTTCAACACATTCTAGCAGAGAAAACTCCAGGCCCACAAAGCTTCAGGTGAATTCTACCAAACATTTAAGAAATAGTAGTTCTACAGAAACTCTTCCAAAAAAATTAGAGAGTATGTCCCAACTCATTCAGCAAGACCACTATGAGAAAATAAATGCCCCTCACCAACCTAGATGTAAAAAATTTGAATACAATTTTAGTCGATTGACTAGAACAGTGTATTAAAAGGACACTGCATCATAACCAGGTAAGGTTTATCTGAGTAATACAGGGTAGGTTTAACATTCAAAGGTTAAATGGAATTCGTCATATTAATAATCTAAAAAAAGAAAAACCATCTATATCTTAGCAGATGCAGAAAAAACATTCAACAATATCCAACATCTGTTCTTGATAAAACAACAACAGCAGCAAACTGGGAATAGAAGGATAGTTCTTTAACCTGAGGGCATCTATGAAAAACCTCTAGCCAGCATCATAATGACAAAACAGTTGCCTTGCCCCACAAGATCAGGAATAAGACAAGGATGTTCATGCTCTCCACTTCTAGTTGACATTTTCCTGGAGGTTCTGGCCAGTGTGGTTAGGCAAGATAGAAATAATAAAAAGGCGTTCCAATTGGAAAGGAAGAAGTAAAACTCTTTATTTGCAGACAACATAGAATTTTGTCTTCAGTCAGTCAAGTGTAAGAGCAGAATAAAATCCTGCAAAGGACTCAAAAGTGACCTCCTGAACGCCCTTTCTTAGAAAGCTACTTTGAAGACATCTTCCACTCTAAGGAGTAAACCAAGAGTGGGAGAAGTAGAGGACCATAGAAGGAATGACCCTCAACCCTCACCCTGGTCAGCGTGACAGCTGTGTGGCAGGCCTGGAGGACACTTTAGGTCAGAGCACAAGGGGAGCCCAGGAGACAGAGAAGATTGGCAGACCAGAGAGCATTCAAGCTGGAACAGTTGAGGTTCTAGTGAAGACAAGAAGTTACAAAGGTGAAAACCTGCAGGAGAGGTAGCTATCTATGAAAGCAAGCCAGGGTACAGATGCGAGGCCCATGGAAGTGTGGCATACATTTGAGCAGTATAGTGGGAAGTATGAAAAAAGAATTTCAAGTTTAAGGAATTTTTTCTAAAAGGGCCTAGGGAATGAGGATGAAATGGACCAAAGAGAAGGATATTCTTAGTCTGACATTGACTTATTCATAAATGCCTCATTTTTGTTCAGATTATGGAGCCAATTTTGTACACCGGGAGTGTAAAGGAGACATGTAGTGACAGAAGGTTAGATGTGGAAGTTAGACAAAGGGCAGCCTGGACTTTGTTTTTTTTTGTTTTTTGTTTTTTGTTTTAATCTCCTTGGGTTAGGTTTCTAGGTATTGTGTTTTAAATCCTTTGTTAACGATTCAGAAGAAATAACGGATAACCTGTTGGGTAAAAAATGGACACGGTAAGCTGTTTTCCCTGAGTACAGCATGGAGGGTAGAAAGGTGTCAACTTAGGAATATTGGTGGTTTGGTGAGGCAGAAGTTCTGTCTGGTGAGGTTAGAATCGCCTGATGCTTAGTGTGGGCAGAAGACTTCTTTTTGGGACTGTTTTGCTGGAAGAAGTCTTGTCTCTAGGTGACTCTGCCAGGCAGAGAGAAACAGAGCAAGAAAATGACACAGGGAATGGCAGTATCACAGAGCAGTTGTATAAGTAGAGGGTTAAATCATGTTAGGTGTGGGTGTCTCCAGTGAACACAGTTCTTTTGAATGGTACAGGAGTCAGTCATTGAAAATCAGAGGGCTGCAGAGGAGAGTGGGAAATAAACAGAGATTAATCCCCGATCAGAGGTTAAGTAGCAGACTTAGAGTTGGGGTGAGTGGTCAGCTGTCTTCTGGAAAGAGGTCTGTTGGTCATTGTTCCTACATTGATCTTCAGTTGGTTCATGGCAGGTGATGTGCTGTGAGACGGCAAGTGCCAGCAGTCTGTGCTGCATAGACCCAGCCTGTGTAGACATTTGTTGACTGGCTGCCTTTTTTTCAACAGGCGTGGTGTCTGTCTGTTTTGAGGGAGACAGTGATGGTTACATCAACTTGGTGGCCTACCCTTATGTGGAAAGTGAGACTGTGGAGCAGGATGACACACCAGAGCGGGAGCAACCTCGGCGCAAACACTCCCGCCGGAGCCTGCACCGGTCAGGCAGTGGCAGTGACCACAAGGAAGAGAAAGCCAGCCTGTCCCTTGAAACCTCTGAGAGGTAAGGGGGTGGTGAGCAGGGTGAAGGTGCATGACTGGTCCTGGCATTACAAACACTCAAGACCTCTCTAGAGTCCTGACACATGGGGAAGTAGGGCCCAAGCTTGGGGAAAGATGGCTGGTATTCTTTGGCTACCACCTGAGTGTGTCACATCACCCCAGTGATGCTGCCTTCTGTGTATGGATGTAGCTGGTCAAGAGAGAGTGATGGTGAAGATCTCAGCCCTTCAGAAGCAAGGACTCCCCATGCTCTGTGCTCTCCAGCTTTGTTGTGTCTCACACATAAGGTCGAAATGCCTTGGTCCACGGTGAGGTTGCACCTGCTTTCAGACCTGTAGGACTGCCCAAGCGCAGTGAGAGGCCATCCAGACCAGTGTTCTTTAAGGGTTCTGTACAAGGTTCTTTGACCTCTATGAGGTCAGCTGTTAACCCTTTCCCTGCAACTAAAATTTAGTTTATTGCATTGGAAATTATTTTTCTTGTAGATTAGGAAAATAGTGTATAAAGCATTGTCTCTCTTGATATTTTATGCAAGAAATGTGAACTCTCATAGGGTAGCTATCATCAAAAGGACAGACAATAAAAGTGTTGATGAAGATTTAGAGAAATTGGAACCCTCTTAAATTGCTGATGGGAATGTAAAATAGTGCAGCCACTCTGGAAAAATAATTATTCTTCAGAAAGCTAACCCCATCAATGCTACTCCTAGGAATAGGAGTATTTACCAAGAGAATTGGAAAAATACATTCAGACACAAAACTTGTAAACAGATGTTTATAGTTGAATTATTCCTAACAGCCAAAAAATGAAAACAACTGTGTCCATCAGCTAATGAATGGATAAATAAATGTGGTATATCCATATAATAGAATATTATCCAGTGATAAAAAGGAATGGAATGCTTATATGAGCCACGACAGGGATGAACTTCAAAAACTAAAGTGCCGAGTGAAAGAAGTCAGTCACAAAAAAACACATGTGATTCCATAGATAGAAAATGTTCAGAATAGGCAAGTGCATGAGACAGGAAGGCAAGTTAAGGTATACCAGGGGCTGAGGGGGAGAGGAGGACAGGAAGTGACTGCTAATGGTGATAGTGTTTGTTTTGGGGGTAATGAAAGTGTCCTAAAAATTAGATAGTGGTGAAGTTTTATAACCTTATAAATATACTAAAGAAACCACTGAGTTGTAAAAAAAAAAAAAATTTTTTTAATAAAACTAACGTAAGCTAAAAATAATGTGAGCTTCCTGAAACAAGGTAAAATCAAAATTCTATGACTAAATTACTTTATATTTAATTTGGGGGCACCTGTCTGGCTGAGTGGGTGGAGCATGCGACTCTTGATCTCTGGATTGTGAGTTCGAGCACCATGTTACTAGGTATAGAGATTACTTGAAAAAAAACCCCTTTTTTTAAAGTATATTTAACTTCACTTAAAAATAAGTTTCAGTGAATAAGATCTGTGCCTTAACTTAGAAGTTAGATTTGGGACTTTTCTTATATGCGTGTGGCAGCACATTAGTTTATCTCTGACATCAGGTCAGTTGAGCAACACGTGCTGTGCACCCTAGTTCCTGAAGCAGTAAGAGCCCAGAGTGTTCCGGCTCTCCTTACTCCCATTGATGGAAGAGGACACACTCACATCGAGGAGCACAGAACCCCACGAGACTCTGGCTGAGTGTGTGATGTTTCCTCTCTGGGCCAGATCTGCATTTCTGGAGAGGAGAGGCCTTCACTCTGAGTAAGCAGGGTCTCCAGGAGTTAAGCTTTTTTTTT